TGGCCTGGCGCCCGAGCCGCTGCCTTCAGAGACTGGGCCCCTCGGGGCGCTCAAATTGCCTTGAGAAACAGGGGGAAAAGAGGGGGAGGAGAAGGAGGAGGAAGAGGAAAACAGTGGAGGAATAGGTAGGAGGGGGCAGGGGAGCGAGAGGGGGTGGATAAGAAATGGAGGGAGGGGGATGGAGGGAGAGGGAGGCCATGGAGGGAGAGAGGTTGGAAGGACAGGAAGAGACATACAGAGACACAACTGGGCCACACAGGCCTGCCTTGTGCGAGAAGTGCATCGCCAACTGGGGCGACAGCAAGCCTGGCATACATGACATTGCTACATCAGTTTCAGCGCGCCTGACCACGTCCAGCAACTACAAGGATGAGGTGTTCCAGATTGTGCGGTCCAGCATGCTTAAGGTTGCTCTCCTTCCTCCTTGTCCAGCAACTACAAGGATGAGGTGTTCCAGATTGTGCGGTCCAGCATGCTTAAGGTTGCTCTCCTTCCTCCTTGCCCCCCCCCCCCCCCCCCCTGAGCTTGATCCCACATCCCTCCACAAGTCTGGCACCCTCCTTCTCCTGCCCCTGCGCTTTCTCTCCTTCACCTTCCTGTCCCCCATCCTTATCCTCCTCTATGTCTGCCTCTTCCTCCGTCGATTTCTGCTCCCTCCTCCTCCTCCTCCTCCTCTTCCTTCTCCTCCTCCTCCTCCTCCTCCTCCTCCTCCTCCTCCTCCTCCCCCCTTTCTACATCTCCTCTCATCTGTTCCCCCTGTTTGTTCTCCCATCGTCCTCTGTCTTCTCCTTTTGCCAGGGCGGGAGAATGCCGTGTTCTGCAGCTGTCCGTGATCATTGGGATTGGCAGATTACCCCTGAGGGCTCAGTATGCACGGCGTGTTTCAAGTCGGTCACTGGCTGCCCCAAACGATTCTTACAAAATGCAAAACAATGGGTGGTGGATGGTCATACTTCGATCCCTGAGACTGAGCCTGAGGCACAGATCCACAATTCCTTCCGGGCTAAGACCCAAGAGCAGCACGTGGACGGTTGGTTGAACTACATACACCATCATTTGGCAGAATTTCGAGCTGACATAAGAGTTAACACAGCAGACAAGCCAGATTCTTCGCGCACAGTGGCTGATTACGTATCGGAGATTCCTCAGCCTGCTTGCCTCCCTGCTGCTGGTGAGACTGGCGACACCAAGCTGTTAACGCCCAAGCTCTTGCCTCCTGGTCGCCTCGTGGAACTATTCGAATGTGATGGCTGTTGCCTTTTTCTGCATTGCTCTTCCCCTCTCCCTCTTTACCTTCGTCGTCCTCCTCCTCCTCAGTTCCCCCCCCCCCCCCCCTCTCCCCCCTCCCTCCCTCCTCCTCTTTCTCCACCCACCACCCACCCACTGCCTGTTTTGTAACTGCAGGGGTCTCTATTACAACATGGCCGCCCCTCCTCCTTCTCCTGCTGCTCCCCCCCCTCCTCCGGCTGCTCCTCCTCCTCCCCCTTCTGATCCCCCTCCTTCTGCTCCTCCTCCTCCTCATCGCCCTCCTCCTCCTGCTCCCGCTGCTGCTCCTCCTCCTCCTCCTCCTCCTGCTCGCCTCCTCCCCCTCCTCCTCTTCTCTTCCTCCTCCTCCTCCTCCCCCCTCTCCCTCCTCTTTCTCCTCCTTCCCCTCCTCCTCCTCCTCCTCCTCCTCCTCCTCATCCTCATCTTCATCCTCATCCTCCTCCTTCTCCTCCTCCCTCCTCCTCGCAGCCAGCGTTCCGGGTGATGCAGTATGCAAGAACGAATGCTCCTCCCTCGTTCCCCTTTGCCGTTCTCGAAAACCTCCATCCGTAAAAAGATGTTTCCCCCAGTCCAGACCTGTTCGCCCAATGTCGCATTGCCAGGGCTAGTTGGATTCTACACAAGCATGAACCCTGATGGACATGCCAGCCGCGCCACCTTCGAGCGAACCTTCAGGGCATCTTGGCGAGAAGTTCTTCTCTTCAGGGACTGCGAAAAGAATAGGTGCACCCTCTGTGCTCGTTACACGAAGCAGAAGCGGCTCGCCATGGCGCCTGAAGTGCGGGCTGCCACTGAATCGGCACAGATTGAGCACGTCCGCTCGACATTCAAGGATCGTGCTGTGTGCTCGCGCTTGGACCGCATGTGCGAGGAGTCCTGCCGGGGGTCGCCACATCCAGAGACGAGATCGACCGAGGAGTCGGTCTTGTGCATGTACATTGATGGGATGGACCAGGCCAAGTTTCGCGTCCCGCGCAATTTGGAGGCGACCAAAGAGTTCGAGAAATGTTGGAGGCCAGATCTCCACGTCGTGTGCGTCCTGGTGCCAGGCCTCATGGAGCAGTACTACATCATGAACACGGACTTGGCTAAGGATTCCAACATGGAGGCCTCCATCATGTCGCACGCACTTGACTTGTGCGTTGAGCTCCTCGGGGTTCGCGGTCGCCAGCTCCCAGCCCATCTCCAGGTCTTCGCGGACAACACAACGCGCGAGGCGAGGAACCAATACTTTTTTATGTGGCTGTCGAGCCTCGTGGCCAAGCAGGTCTTCCGGTCAACTGGCATGGGCTTCCTGCAGGTAGGCCACACGCATAATTGCGTGGACCAGAGGTTCAGTGTGGTGTCCACCGAGCTGGCGCGCCAAGAGATCTTGGAGACGCCAGCGGACTGCGCGATGCAAAAATTGAGGGGGGCGGGGGAGGGGGAGGAGGAGAAAGGGGGGGAGAAGGAGGGGGAGGAGGAGGAGAAGGAGGAGGTGGATGGGGAGGAGGAAGAGGAGGAGAAGGAGGAGGGCAGGAGGAGGGAGGAGGAGAGGGTGGATGAGGAGAGGGAGGAAGGAGGGGGAGAAGGAAAAGGAGGAGAAGGAGGAGGAGGAGGAGGAGGAGGAGGAGGAGGAGGAGGGGGAGGTGAAGGAGGAGGAGGTAGAGAGAGACAGAGTGAGGGAGCCCTCCCCCTTTCCCCCTGTGCCTCCAGGATTTCGCCGACCGCATTCAGGCCGTCCTGCAGGTTGACCTGGACGGGCGCAGGGGCCGCGACATTCATGTGGCTCGCTCCTTTTTCATTCTTCTCATCCCTCTGCTGCTGCTGCTGCTTCTCCCCCCCTCTATTCTCCTCGTCCCCCCTCTTGTCCTCGATCCTTCTCCTCCTCGTTGTCCTTTCCCCCCCCCCCCCCCCCCCCTCATCCTGCACCTCCTCGCCCCCCCTCCATCTCTCTCTCTCATCGCTCTCTCTCTCTCTCTCTCTCTCTCTCTCTCTCTCTCTCTCTCTCTCTCTCTCTCTCTCTCTCTATATATATATATATATATTTCTCGCTACCTCCTGCTTTTCAAGCCTGCATGATCTGCCCCCCTCTCTCCTTGCTCACCTTTCGCCCCCTGCCTCTGCCACCCTGGCCCTTCTTGTCAATTGCGCCCTCCTCACTGCGATCACCCTCTCGTCAATCCCTACGCCTCTCCCCTCCTTGTCTGCGCCCCTGTCCTCATTCTCCCCCCTGGCCCAGGTGGAGATCATCCACGACTTGTACGACTGGGGGCACTACTTCCAGAACACGGCTGTCAGCATTGCTGGCCTTGCGATCCAGTCTGAGGGGGAAGCGGTCAACCATTCGTTTCGGTTCGTGCAGAGAGGGGACCTCTACCATTACAAAGTGAAGGGCTCTGCGTTCGAGTGGGAGTTGGACACTGGGGCCCTTGGGGTCGTTCTTTGAATCTCGAACGCCTTCAAATTTAGGGAACTTCTGAGAAGGAAGGGCCTGCTGGCCCTGATGTTTTTATTCTTTGTTATGTCTTGCTTGCCTGCTTGGAGGGCGGGGCCAGAGGCCTGGGCCAGAGGCGAGGGGGAGGGGGGCAAGGGACGATGGGGGAGGAGGAAGGCTGATAACCTCAGGGGCCTCAGGGGCCTCAGGGCCTCAGGGCTCAGCTTAGGACTCAGGCTGAGGGCCTCCAAGAACTTTCAGGGCTGAGGGCCTCGGGGCCTTTGGTCTTCAAGAACTTTCTTCTGCAGCGAAACAACATCATGACTGCTAGCATTATGATTCCATGTAGGCTGCTAGGCCATCAGGCTCAGATCGAGCCGAAGAAAGATGAGCGCAACGCTCTCTAGCTGGCACTGCTAATCGCTCAGAGCCTAGCGAGCCTTGGGTCCAGAGCGAGGTGAAAGTGAACTAGTTGCCACATCATCGTGAAACTCAATGAGAACGTGCCACGCCACTGCCATGACCCACATGACAGAACCAACATAAACCTGCGGTCTCGAGTTGATGCCTCAATAGATGCAAAAAGACGCAACTGGTACTACCAAACAGAGTCTGACAGAATGTGCCAGCAACCTTTGAAAATAACATAATGCTGCCACCCACCAACGTATTCACATCACGACAACTCGGCTGACAATGCTGCAAAGTACCACATGACCGCCGCGTTCAGATTTACCATGGGTTGCATACGCTTGGCATCATCTGTCAACAAACCCACTGGCAAGCCATTGGTAATATTGCGAAGCCGATCTTTCATGATCGTCTCGATGCGCTTCTCCTTGGCGTACTGCCAGTACGTGACATACGGACCAGTCCACGTGCCCATCGTTCGAGTCCGAAAGGGCTGGATGAGGTACGGCTCGGGATCTGATGGGCTGCGCGGAACGGTATTCGTCTGAGACAAAGCTTCAACAACTCCGAGCGCCGCGATCTTGCACATGCTGCCGTCCCACTGCCCAGTGAAGAGGACCTGCCATCCTGAAACCGTTGCTCGCAAGCAGAGCCTGGTGAGGTCCAGATTTGACTCTGGATCGATGAACTCCGAGACTTCGAACGGACCGCTTTTGCTCACCCGCGCAACCAAGTCCTTGCCATTGCGGAGAGAGAGGAGCGGGCCCTGGCTGGCCTCAGAGCCCTCATCAGTAGCGCCTGACATCGGCATGTAACCAGGAAGCGGTTTGAGGGTAGTAAGGACTGCTGGGCATCCTGAAGCGCGTACGCAGTCTGTCCTGCGTGAGACACTCACAACAGTCGAATT